AATACCCTCTCAGTTGCTTCTTTAAGAATTCGTTCTCCTAATACCTTTCGTGATGGTAATATAATCATTGGATTAAGCCAATGAAAGAATCGTTTTACTGCATCATTTTCTATCCATTGAAATGGAAAGCCACATGAGACTGTTACTTCTAATAAAAATTCTTCAAGTTTAGATATTTGAGATGTTGTTAATGGACGAAAAATATAATTGTCCAAAACATTTTGGTTTTGAATAGGAATTATTTCATTTTCATATTCATATGATGGCTTGATATTAATATCTGTTTCAGTTTCAAAATCAGACTCCTCATCACTAGCTAAATCATCTAATATAATACATGACCGTTTCTTTATTGGCTTATTAGATTTTGCTCCATTTTTTTCAGCTTTATTAAGCAACTTATTTATTTGTTCAGATGTATATGTAGCCGTAAAACTTGAACAGTTTCGAAAGTGACGCATGCATTCTTTTTTCGTATTTGTAAATTTATTCTTGTATGCTTCTTCCTTTTCAAGTATATTAATACAAGCACAGCATATAGCATATTTATTGCTTTTATTTACTCTTTGTTCAGAATGAAGTACTACAATATATGGTGTTAAAAAATGTTGCTGATGACCCATTATGTGATAATTTTTTCGTTAAAAATGAAAAAGAGATTATGAAGATCCATTTTTTTTTGCGTCACATTAACAATTTTATATAAAATCATTATGTTCTTGATTGGTTAATTTTTAAAATTTGATTTTAAGCTATTAGAAAATGATTCAATGTAAAAATATAGCAAAAATATAAAATAAAAAATAACTACTATTTTCTCTTTATTGTTATATAATGACCAGAGGTACTGAAACTCAAAAAAGAACTCAAATGAAGGCTTTAAGATGATTATCAAGCCTTTTTTTGTGGATTATTAAATTTATAAGATTTTTAAAGAAAAAAAAAAGTGATCGTTTGTTTAAATATGTGATCACAAAAAAATTTTTTTATTATTAATATGCATAGATTATGCCAAAAAAAAGTAAATCAATCATAAATCATTTGTATCACATGCTGCATTGCTGTGCTGTAAGGGTTTATTTTTGATTTACCGCAGAAATAATTCTTTTAAAGATATATATTACGAAAACTATTGGACAATGTTAATGGACATAGTCCAATAAAATATTGGATATTGTAGACTTAGTCCAAATTCCATTAATGTCCAATTGCAATTGGACTTGGACTGGACTAGTCCAATTAGTCCAATTCCAATATTTCAAATCGTACCAATTGGACCTTGTCCAAAGCCATCACTAGTTAGATGATCTGAGAATTTCAATTCTTTTCAATATTCAGAGAAACTCGAGTGACTTCTTGATCCAATAATTGTTCAGATAATGTTGTTCTTGATGGAGAAGTATATCTTGGATTAAGTTCTTGAAATAGATCACGAATAAAAGGGTTATCGATTACTTTAAAAGGAATTTCTGTCATTACCCATGCTTTCAGTAATGATCGGTCAATTCGCTCAGTTATAGCTAGTGGTAAAGGTTTATCTGAGCCAAAGTGTTGAGTTATTTGATATTATTTTAATGGTGGTTGAATTATGGTTTTTTGTTTACAGGTATAATTTGTTAATTCAGTAGAAAGTTTATCTTGCCAAAATTTGCTAATGTCTTCAGGACATTGTAAGCATTTATTAGAAAGGTGAACTTTTAAAGTTCCCAGTTTACCCCTTTGCCATTTCTTTTCACAATGATAACAAGTAGCAGGATATTGTCCATCATTTTTTTCATCGCTTATGATAAAATATTCCCATACTTCATCTCTTTTAGGACCACCCTTTTTGTTTGTTTTTTGTCGTTTTGATGTATTTTCAGTATCATTAACATGCATACTATTTTCTTCCATAGTTAATTTGAACATGACAAATGAAAAACACGTTATTAAAAAAAATACGAATTTAAAAAAATTTTACATTTTTATTTTTATATTTGAACGGGTTGAATAAGTTTGAAAAAATTTGAATATTTTTTTTTCTATTGATCTTTATATATAATTCACATGCTTACTGTTATACTAACTTTTTATAGAATCTACCCGTGGTTTATGGTTAATTACAGTCAAATAGCAAATAGTTACAACAATAGTTATGGCAAATGATGATAGTTATGGCAAATGACACTATTTACGACAAGTAACACTGTTACAGCATCTGGCAGTACCGTATTGCCATATTCTTTTAACTCTAATAGTTATAACCCTATAGTACTGATATGTCTACACCCTTAGTAAGCTCTGAAATAGAAGTTGCACTATAAGATTTAATATACTTGATTTTATCTAAACCCACTTGTTCGATAAATTTATAGACTTTCTTAGCTCTCTGAGTTTTCTTGCACAAACTATCTCGCGATACATCTTGAAGTTGTAATCCCATTTCTTGGAATCTCTGTTTATGAAACAAATTAAGCTGTTTTATAATAGAATCATATAGTAAGCCTCTTGCCTTCTTTTCATCGAATTTACCTCCACTACTTTCTATAATTCCATTGAGTTGAATTATGAAATCTTTCACATAGAGGCACCAGTATAAAATTTCTTCCTGATTAGCTCGATTTGCTTTATCTTCAGCATCAAAAGCTTTATTGCATAACTGAGCTAGATGTTGTGAGGCCTCATCAATGCTAAATTTATCAGAGGTAACTTTTCCAGGACATAATATCTCAGAAATTTCGATCACATGATTTTGTTCTATTGATGGCTCTTGTGAAGACAACTCTGAAGCAAATAATTCTTGCTTAAGCTTATTAACACTCTTCCCCTTCTTGTACTTTAAATTCTGTTCACTACCTATCTTCTCTTCTGGAGGTACTTTTCCGCCATTTGAATTAGCTGATGCTTCCGATGATGTGCCATTGTATGGCTGAGTAATCGAGTCGAGAACTTGAGGTCTCTTCTCTTCAGGAGATATTGGAAGAGACTCTTGGGCTTGAAGTTTCTTCTCCTTATTGCGTTGTCTAATTTCATCACCAATCTTTTTCTTATGCACTTCATCCAAGAAAGTATCCGTTTCCTTATCTTCTAAGGATGTCTGATCACGTTGGTCCATAACGGATATATTAACAGCTGATACTGATTGCTTTACAATCACCTTTGGAATCAGTTCTTCAGGTAATGAAGTATCCATTTCCTTATTCACTAATGGTTTCTCATGATGCGAGTTAGCTTTACTAATTTGATCTGCAACCGAATTGAAGTTAGATGAACTGTTATTAGAAGAAGTATCATTTAGCATTTGCCTCTGTTCCACTTTCGTGATTCTATCTCTAAATTCAGCATTCTCAGACTCAAGTTTAGTGGTAACTGTCTTATTTTTCTCTAGTTTCTTGATTCTGGCCCTGAGTTCGGCATTCTCAACATCACGTCTCTTACTTTCTTCAACAGCCTGTCTTAGGAGCTCGGCAATCCTGGCCTTAAGCTCAACTTTCTCGGACTCAATCTCAGCAAACTTCCTTTTAAGATCAGGGATCTCAGCATTCTTATTCTTAAGTTCAGCATTTTCCTTCCTAAGCTCAGCAATCTCAATAATTCAAAAGTTCGTTAGCATAGACAAAAAATCCGTGACAAAATGTCACGATCGGAATTATTGATTTATTGATGTAAAAATAAATTACAAGATTCGGTAATACATAAACTTGTTTTACAAAATGAATTAGAGTTTCTATACTAATGCCTACTAACGCGTTATTCCAACATTAACTCTAATCTGATTTCATTTGTCCAAACGTCGATAGAATAAAATGGTCGTCAGTTATGCACTTTGTATTCCATATATTGTACTGCGACCATTTTTTTCCACATTACGTCAATGACACATCTGAAATGCACTCACAAAATTTCGTGGCACATCAAAATAGTGCTTCACCATTACATCATGTAATACAATATCAAATCCTTTGGTGTAATTTTCTTTCTGCAACTGATGTTACATTTATCACATTTATAAACAGGTAGAATGGCAAAAAGGACAAAACCAATGTCAGAATTTACAGAATTTTATAGTAAAGTGTGTGTTGCTAGAAGCGTAAAATTTGTCACTGACGAAGCAAGTAAAGAAGAAATTAGCTTGTCAGAGAGTGACCAATTTTCTCGTAACCTAGCAATGATATTAGCAAGAGACAGTGAAGTGGTAGCGGTTAACTTGAAAATTTTACCCAACAAGTGTAGAGTTTACATTTCAAAGAACAGTAGATGGCTTAATAAAGATACTAGATATATCAACGAAATTAAAGGACTCATGAAAAATTTATCTAAAGATGGTCCCATGACATTCGAACAAGCAGCTGAAAAAAGGATGTGTTTGCTTTATTTTTTAATGTATTGGAGTACTGTTCTGTTAAGTTAGGACGTAGATTGAACAAACTTAAGAAAGATATAAGGGATAATAAAGACAAACCATATATTAAATCTTTTCTAGAATTCCTAAGATCTTCTGAGATTAACGTTGATAATCTAGATGAGAATAACGAACCATTTGGTGAAGAAAGATCGAAGTTCGAATATGATATGACCATAGCTTGTAGCGAGTATTATAAAGACAATAAAAACAACAAAAATTATCCGCAAAGATTCCTAGGACACATCAAAAAAGTGGGATCCTATTCTGCATCTGTGATGAATATTGTTAATTGTGCACGTAAAGAAAGTATAAAATACCATTTTCTTGTATAGACTTGCATTTATTGGATTCTATTCCTGACGATCAACCCATATTTTCATGGACTGATATTATCAAAAAGTTTATTCCTATTCAAAAGAGTTTCGAAATCTTCAAGAAAAATTGTTTAAAAAATAATGAAACAAGGGAGAGACTAAACGATATATATGGTGGCACAGGTGGACAATTGGATTGTGGAAAAATTAATCACATATATTTACACGCAGAGTTGAATGTATTGACCAACACTGACGTATTAAGCAAGGAACATAATGAATTTATAGCAGTATCCAAGAAATGTTGTTACTTATGTGAATCATACATCAAATTTTTACGATCCAAAGGATATAAAATTACCATTTCTGGGGGACATAATAAGTTGTATCACAGATGGAAACTTCCAGATACTTACAGTAGTGAATTTGCGAAATTTGCTCTATGTGACTTTGAACAGATCATAGAGAGTGGAATAGAACAACATACTAAAATAATTGCTAAATCTGATAGTGATGGAGAAAGTGCTGATTCTGATAATCCAAAACAAAAATCATGTTGCTATGAAGAAGGTGGGCAAAGGTGCATTTCAGATTAAGACTAATTCCAATCTATGATTCAGATATTCAGTAATGTTGCTTGATTAACAATTTTTTAGTGAGAATAAAGGAGCATTTTTATCAATAAAACAAAAATTGCTACATTTAAAAAGTTAAACAAAATCTTTACTCTTATAAATGAATTGTCAGTGCTAAACTAACAAAATCTATTTGAGTGGTAGACGTTCAAAGGGATGAAATATTTCGATGCCTAACTGATCCTTCCCGCTTCTCAATACCACCTAATACTAATTTTTTCAATATCTATACGTCTATCTATAATTTCCAAAGTAAATTAACTATATCTGTTATTGTTTAAACCAATTCC